GCCTTCTACCAGGACCTCCAGAGCTGGAAGCTGCTTTCAGCGGCCATGTCCTTGAGGACCACTGTGGAGGCAGACCATCTCACAGAGCCTCTGCTATGCAGTCTGTATCTCCATCTGCAGGCATCGTAGTCCCCCTTGGTGCTCCAGAGGTTGGTCCTGGCAGAAGTCACCAGGATCAGAGACCTCCTGGACTGCGAGTGGGAAGACTGGGTGGATCCTCTGGCGCTTGTCCAGCACATGGGGCTCTCCACCCTACATACTCCCTGGTGTATGCTTTGGGAGGTGAGGGATGCTTGACTGCTCACTGCTCAGGTTTATCTTGACTGGGTCCTGTGAGAGGGTGCACCCTGCCTGCTCCTGGCTCTCCGGATCTCTCCATCAGTGGCTTTTGTTACACCATCTTTTTGGTTCCTGGAATTACTCATTCTGCTCCCACTTGTGTAGATGAGCAGATAATGGCTGCAGCAGAAATCCTGCTACTGATAGCTTAGGAGTCCTGGGATGGTGCCTTAGGGTTTCCCTCAAGACTCAAATTCTGATCCTGGGACTTAAGGAAGAAAGTATAGCTAAGGGATTTCTAGCATATCCAGATGCCAAATAAATGAAGATTGTGGCTACTTTGGTTACTTTTAATGTGTAATGGTTTGTTTCTGTCTTGGTGCATCACTCATTCTTCACCATCACTAAAATGCTGCTAAGTCAGATCCATTTCCATTGCATCATACAGCATACTGTAGCATTCAAATGAATTAGTCATTTGTGTGAGTGGGTGAGTTCACTCTGACACTATACCCCCATATTTTTATAGAAATGTGTTTTTTAAATATGAATATGCATAGCAAAATGGGGCAAGTAACCTATCATTCAAGAGCTTGTAACCCCTGGACATGTAAATTTCATTTGTGTGCATGTATTATTCTTGTAGGTGAAGTTAGAAATATAAAGTGTACACCTGTTTGTTAATCTAGGTCAGCAGTCACCAATCAGTAGATTGGGATCTACCAGCAGATCTTGGAGCCTCTGACAGGTGATCCTGACTGGTTTGGCCAGGAAGCTACCAAGCACTGGCACTTCAGTTGCCTCTCCACCCACTGTCATGCTGCTCCTGCCCTCTGCCTTGGAGCTGCCCCACCTGGGAGCCTCCTGCTTGCTGGGCAGGGTGTGGGAGGGAGAAGGGGGGTGCTGATGTCAGGGTGTCCCCCTGCTCCTGTACCCTATCTCCACACAGAGAAGGGGAGGGAGCTTGGCAATGAAAATGTCACTCTCACACACCGTGTGTGTCTGTCATTCTCTCACACTCAGTGTCCTTCCCTCTCATCTCCTGACCCAACACACATGTGGGGGGTGGTGGTGGTTACTACTTTTACTGCTTGCAAAGTGGGTTATTTTGGGGGTTTGAGTGGTCTGTGCATTTCATCACTTTCATTTCTCACTTACGCTAACCTGTTGTGGCTGGAGTTGTCATCCCTGTGGTAATTGCTGCTCCTGGAAGTGGCTGGCATGTCCCTGCAGCCTGAGAGAGGCAGAGCAGGGGGTCTCCACACGCTGTCCTTGCCTGCAGACACCCCTCCTGCAGCTCCCACTGATCAGTAACAGGGAACTGTGGCCAGTAGAAGCTGTGGGCTCAGTGCCTGTAGATGAGGGGCAGCACATGACGCCATGGAGCCTTTGCTGTACATGCCAGCTGCTTTCAGGGGTGGTGCAGGGCCGGGTCAGGAGCAAGCCTGCCTTAATCCTACTGTTCCACCACCTGGAAGCTGTCTCAGTTAAACAGTGCCCAGCCAGAGCCTGCTTCCTGAACCCCTGTCCCAGCCCTGGACCTCCTCCTGCACCCAACCTCCTGCCCCAGACATGAGTCCCCCTGCACCCTAACTCCTTCCTAGAGCTTGAACCCTGAAACCCTCCTGGACCCCGACCCCAATCCCATCCCCTGCCCTAAGCCTGGAGCCCCTCCCACACTCCAAACCCCTTGGCCCAAGACCAGAGCCTGCATCCCTAACCCAGCCTGGTGAAAGTGAGTGAGGTTTGGGGAAGAAGGGGGATGGAGTGAGCAGGCTGAAACCCCAATCCCATCCCCTGCTCTAAGCCTGGAGCCCCTCCCACACTCCAAACCCCTTGGCCCAAGACCAGAGCCTGCATCCCTAACCCAGCCTGGTGAAAGTGAGTGAGGTTTGGGGAAGAAGGGGGATGGAGTGAGCAGGCTGAAGCTTCAGAGAGGGGGTGAAGCAGGGGTGGTACCTTAAAGGGGCAGGAAGGAAGTGGGGCAAAGGGTATTTGGATTTGAGGTAGAGCTTACATTGCACTTAAATTCAAAAAGTGATCTTGTGGTTAAAAAGGTTGGAGACCACTGCTCTAGGTCTTCTAGTGAAAGCCATTACTGGTACTCAAGGAACCAGTGCTCACGAGAAGCATCTGAGAATAGTCTTGTTTTTCCTGTAAGCCTAAACTGTGGTTGGTCCTACAAAAACGTGACCATACCACCTGCTTGTGGACTCCATCTTGAATTTGGTATTTTTCCAGAGAGATGAGGGGAGTGGGACAAAGACTTCCCTCCCTGGGGAAATTGTATTTAAGGAATGGGAAGCAAATGGTAATTAATCTTTAGCTGGCTTCAAAGACTGCTTCCCACCTCAAGGGGGACATATGAAAGGACCTGGAAAGAAAATAACTGATTGGGGAGGAGCTGTTAGGCCCAGGTCAGAGAGAAAGATCAGCTCTGGCCTGAAGTTCTTTACCTGAAATAAGGACTAGGGTGAGAAATGTATGACTTGCAACAATCTCTCTTAATTAGGCTTAGCTAGCATGTTTTGATTATATTAGCTTAATAACTTGCTTTGATCTGCTTATCACTTGCACCCACTTAAATCCTACTTTTTTATACTTAAAATGATGTTATGATTATAAAACCCAGGGTAAATAGTTACTGTGGTGGACAACAGCTGTGTATATCTTTCATTGATAGAGCAAACTTATGAGCTTTCTCTTTCTCAAATTTTTATACAGAGTAAGATGGATTATTTGGAGTTTTGGTCCCATGAGGGCTGTCAAGTCCCTGTAATTGAGCTCCTAGAGCTGAGCTGTTGTCTGTCTCTCTGTTAAGGATGTTAATTGACTAGTACATTTCAAAGGAGGAATGCGGAACACCACATACAGCCCGGGCCAGCGGGAAGTCCCGCTGACTAGGCTCCACAAGGGCGCTTACCCTGTGAAATGCACAAGAGTCCCAGGGGCTCTTGTGCATTTGAAAGCAGAAGCATCTGTGTGGCCTGCATTCCTCCTTTGAAACGTACAAGAGCCCCAACGGAGGTACTTGTGCATTGGGTTCTTGTTCATTTCAAAGTGGAAGCACCTGCATAGAGCCCAGAGTCAGCGGGACTTCCTGCTGGCCCTGGGCTACATGCAGTGTGCAAGCTTTGAAATGTACAAGAGTCCCCAGCGGGAACTCTTGTGCATTTCAATGTGGAAGCATCTGTATGGACTCAGGGGGCAGTGGGGGACTCATAGTCCCCCCGATCCTGAGCTCCATGTGGCACTGCTGCTTTGAAATGCTATGTGGAGCTGGGGTCAGTTGAGGACTCCCCAGCTGATCCTGGGCTCCATGCGGCATTTCCATGGAACCCAGGATCAACTGGGGACTCCCCAGCTGACCCTCTGCTCCTCATGCTTTGAAATGAAATTTCAAAAGGGTAGCACTGCACAGAGCCTGGGATCAGCTGCATAGTAGAACTGCTGCATTTGTTAAGGAACTCAGAAGTCCTGAATTCTTAGTCCCACTTGATGGACATATTCAGGGACATGACAGGACTCACCTGAGTGAATAAGGCCATCCGGAGTTGTGGTGATGGAACATCATAAACCTCACTTCTTATATTTGGTATGGAGGCCCGAGATGCTGTGGGAAGAGTAAACAGGTGCTTGAGGGAGAAAAAAAAGAGAAAGAAATGAGAACGTTGAAGTGACCTTGGGGTATCTATGAGAGATAATAATGAGTTTGATGGCCATTGCTGGAAGAATTCCTTTTAGGATGTTAATTAAAAAGCTTAAGTGTCACAGCAACCGTCAGTGTGAACTCACACAAATGACTATGCTCAATGGTATGATCATCCCATCAAGTGACAGTCTCAAGGGGGTCTCTGTGATCCAACCCATCATAGTCATTATCCCAGCCTGACAATGAACTTAGTTTCTCTGTACACCTGTCTCTAACCTGCAGGGTTAAATAAGAATTGATCTAGTGTTTATGGGCTATTTGAACTACTATAATTAGTTAACATGTAACTTGGGAAAAGGGATGTATTTACAGCAGGATGTGAGAACAGTGGGAGCTTTTAACCTCCTGTGGTTCTGATTATCAAAGCTCCACGACCTTCGCTGGTGATTACAGAACAATAGCAGTTTTACCCCAAGGTTCTCTCAGTGTAACTATATAGCTGTAATCTCTGTAGCATGGTAGATATGTCACTGAAGATTTAGAACTAGTGTTGGTTTCCTTTCTGTCACTTCCATTGTCTTGGACGTTGGTACTGTGCAACTGGGTAAAACTTTTGGATTACTCTGTACTGGCCAAACCAAACTAATGCCTGTTTCTGTGGACATGGCAACTGTTGGCTGACCACTAAAAGCTTGGATCTGCTTTCACTGCTGCCTGGAAGTGCCAGTTGTGCAGATGTCATCCAGCATCTCCCCTACTCCATCAGATGGAAATAGCATTTTAGCTAGTAAGCTCTTGGGGGCAGGGTTGGGGAACCTTTTTTGGGTCGGGGACTGCTGATCCACAAAAAAATCAGTTGGGGGCTGCACACAAGTGAGAAGTATTGAGAGAAGCCCCTGACTGAGAAGGAGAAAGACATTCCCCTTGCACACCAAAGCCTAGGGGGGCCCAGGCAAGTAAACCTTGTGTGCTCCAGCTCTGAGGCTGGGGGGGGCTGGAGCACCAGCGCAGACTCCCCATTGATGAGTCTTGGGGGCCAAATCCAGACAAGCTGGGGGCTGCATCTGGCCCCTGGGGCTGAGGTTCCCCACCCCTGTCTTAGGGGCTCATGCCGTCTTGTGTTTTTGTGAAGTGTCCAGTACAATAAGGTGCCAATGCTGATTAAGGTCCCAAAGTTCCATTATAGTACAGATATTAAACAAGGAAGGGCAAACAAGTATTTAACCTCCATGATGGCTTCAGATTCTGGCACAGCTGGAAATATTCTTCAAAGAGTCTTCATTGTGTGGTGTACAGCTAACAGAAGTAAAGGCTCACTGCACACGTGGCTCTGATGTATAACCCACAGAATCATAGCTGGGGTAGATTGCATGGTCATCACAGCCCTCATGTATGCACATCCTTATTGATTCAGGTTCCTTGCATGATGTTTGGATAACTATTAGCAAGAAGAAAGGAGTTTTATTAATATCCCTCTAATACATGCACCCAGCCTGCATGTTTTTGATGGAGCATGGCTTTTAATGTTTTTAGGAGAAAATGTAATCTGTTTTTAATTTCAAGTCAGTTGCAGGGGACAGGATTATATTATCTGAGGTGACTTGGTCCTAAATTGATTTCATTTCATTTGTGTACCGCATCATGATTAAAACATTAGAAGTTCTGCATGCTCTTTCTCTAGCAAAGTCTGATTTTTGTGGTCAAGTCCTCTGATGCTATAGGCCTCACCCATGTCCAGCCAGGTCTTATTTATTTGGAGAGAGGGTTAGGGAGGTAAGTGGATCAGCAGGCTGGAAACAGAATGTCTATACTAGCTAAAATAAGGGGAACGCCCAGGGAAACACTTGCGATGGACAGGGTAACAATGGATAAGATCAACCTGGAAGGTAAGCTGAGGTAAAGTGTAAGTCGTGCGTGCTGTACAGGGTTTGGTTTCTACAAAGCAATTTAAGCCAATTCCAAGATGTGTGATGCAGTGTAATTTGTACACTTATATAAAGGAAGGGATTTGCTGTGTAACCCTCTGTGTAGTATGCTCCATACACCACACCCCTTGGGCTCGTCTACACTGGCCCCTTTTCCGGAAGGGGCATGTAAATTTCAGCAGTCGTCGTAGGGAAATCCGCGGGGGATTTAAATATCCCCCGCGGCATTTAAATAAAAATGTCCGCCGCTTTTTTCCGGCTTTTAAAAAAGCCGGAAAAGAGCGTCTACACTGGCCCCGATCCTCCGGAAAAAGCGCTTTGAAGTAGGAATAAGAGCCTCCGGAAAAGGGCGCTTTTTCCGGAGGATCGGGGCCAGTCTAGACGTTCTTTTCCGGCTTTTTTAAAAGCCGGAAAAAAGCGGCGGACATTTTTATTTAAATGCCGCGGGGGATATTTAAATCCCCCGCGGATTTCCCTACGACGACTGGTGAAATTTACATGCCCCTTCCGGAAAAGGGGCCAGTGTAGACGTAGCCCCTGGGTGTGATCAACTTAATCTAGCTTTACCATATGTCAAATAAAGGAAGCTGAGGAATGAGACTGGAGCTGAACTCAGATTGTGGGGAACTGAGTGGAAAAGGTCTGTGGGAACACCAGTGTACTCAGTCCATGAAATAGGACCTCTTTTCTGCTAACTGGCTTGGGGCTGGTTGCTATACTATTAGCAATGTGTTAAGAAATGTGTTTCTGTAGGATTCTGTTGGGTTCTGGGTTTCCTCCAGCCACTGCTCATCCTGTCTCCTCCTCTACTGGATTTAAAAAAAAAGTGTGGCTGTTGGTAAAGTGGGAATGGGGATTTTTAAAGTAGTGCCCCCATTGGTCAGAATTAGGAGGTAATATGGGGCCTCGAGAATTGGTCCTCTTGCGGATGCCCGGAGGTTGTTTAGAGCTTAACTCTTGCATTCTTGTTGATTTTTGTATTTGGAACCCAGCCTCTGACTATGGTGTGAAGCTGCCAATCTTGCGGTCCAACACAGAGGATCAGATTCTGTACCAGACTGAGCGTTACAATGAGGAGACATTTGGGTATGAAGTCCCCATCAAGGAGGAGGGTGACTACGTTGTGGTGTTGAAGTTTGCTGAAGTCTATTTTGCACAGTCCCAGCAGAAGGTAAGCCAAGTCTCCCCCTGACCCAGGAGCCTTTCTTGGTTATTTTCTGGTGATGATACTTTCTGTCTAGGGCTGTGTATGCCAAGTTCCTGTGATGTAATTCAGGACTGACAATTACCTTGTTTGCCCACACTGAGGGTGAGGATCTCGTGGGAGCTACACTGTATCAGTTCCCTGTACTCTGGTCTGCTAACCACCCAAACAACCTCCTTGAAAGCTTTGCAGGCCTTTACTCTGCCTTGCAGGTAAACATCACTCTCCAAAATAACTTGTGGAGTGTTTCTCTACAGCAGTATTTTTCAAACTTGGGTTGCAAGGTATCACGGCTTACAGGTCGTGCCTGCACTTGGCCAGTCAGTCCCGGGCGGAACCCCCCTCTCCAGAGAGGTAGCCCCTTCTCGGGGATTCCACTTCAAGTATAGTGGCAGTGAGACAGCTCTTTGTCAGGGAGTCCACTCCAGTGCAGCGACCCTCTCTTGAGGTGCCCACTCTCACCTGGGGGGTCTGCCTCTCTGCCTCCGGGGCACATCTTCACTCATGCCGGAGATCGACCTTCTGGCGTTTGATTTAGCAGGTCTGGTATGGACCCATAAATCGAATGCTATGGGCGGAGTAAGGGAAGCCAATGGGAGCATTTGCCCCTGTTGGCCGCCTGCTGCGGTGGCTTACCTTAAGCCGAGTTGCGTTCCTTAAGCCAACCTTCCAGGTCTAGTGTAGACCTGGTCTGATACTCTCTGCAATCTCTTCCATCCCAAAGGTGTTTGATGTGCGCTTGAACGGTCACGTGGTGGTGAAGGACTTGGACATTTTTGACCGAGTTGGACATAGCACAGCTCATGATGAGATGATTCCCATCAGCATCAGAAAAGGGAAGCTCAGTGTCCAGGGAGAGGTTTCCACGTTCACAGGGAAGCTCCACATTGAGTTTGTCAAGGTAACAAATCCTGGCTAGTGGAAACCCTATCCAATCCCTCACACCGTGCCGCGTGGTGCAGTCGTGTATAAGGAGAGGGAGGGGAGGTGTAATATACCTGGTCAAGTCTGGGAACCTCTGAGAGGGTCTTCTCAGGGCGAATTGCTCAAAACTTGGGTTACTTACAGCCCACAACTGGACTCCTTTCCTATACAGGCAACAAACGAGTCACGCAGAGAACATCAGCTGCCAATCTGGCCAGCAAAATGCCCCAGACTTTCAGACGCCCCAGCTTTCTCCATGCCAGAACCAGACCCAGACCTTACACAGGAGAGAGGTTATAAAACCCAGTCTCACCTACTATGAACAGATCCTCCCAGTCCCGAAGGACCAGCCACAGTCCCAGGCCAATTTATGCCTCAGATCTTACCCAAAGAGCATGCTGGGCCAATCCTTTAGAATCTAAAGGTGTATTAATAAAAGAAAGAAAAGGTTGAGAGTGTTAAAGAGAATACATTACATACATCAAACACCAAGTGCTTGATGCAGGCCCTTAGTGGAGATGTTACAAACTGCCAGCTTAAAAGTCTCTGGTGTACATTCTGTATCAGGACGGGTCAGCAAATCCTTCCTGGCTCTCTGTCCCGAGTAAGGATGTTAAGTAACGGTTAATTTGCTGGTCGAGTAGTTGATGAAATTTCTATCGACTAGTCGATAGGCACTTATGCATTCTTCCTTTGAAATGTACAAGAGCCCCTGCTGGGGCTCTTGTACATTTCAAAGGAAGAATGTGGAACACCGCGTACAGCCCAGGGCCAGTGGGAAGTCCTGCTGACTCCGGGCTGCACACGGGCCAGCTTTGAAATGTACAAGAGTCCCCAGTGGGGGCTCTTGCGCTGCTGCTTTGAAATGCACACCATGGAGCCCGGGGTCAGTGGGGGACTCCCCAGTTGATCCCAGGCTCTGTGCAGCATTTCAGCGGAACCCAGTATGAGCTGGGGACTCCCCAGCTGACCACGGGTTCCACGCAGCATTTCCCCAGAACACGGGATCAGCTGGGGAGTCCCTAGCTGACTCCAGGCTCCACGCGTGGCAGTGCCGCACAACTGATCCCGGGCTCAGCTGTGCAGTGCTGCCCATTTG